TTCAGTTTACTGTTGGAAGTCAATATGGCGGCATAATATCATCCGGTTCTGACATGTGTAAATAAATACAATTGGATCAAAACATGTAAACATGTTGAGTCTTATTTATATATTGTAATATAAACGAGGTTTTGTTTAGCGTATTTACTTCGCCAAACTAACGAAGACATACCAATAATTTAGGCGATGATGGAATGCAGAAGTAATCACTTACTTATTTCTTACTCCCGCTCATTTCTTTAGCACAGATGTAAGTAAAGATAACAGGTATGTGCTATCAAATATACTATTTCTGTCGTAAGTAGGTACATTTCAATTTATAGTCAAGTGACGTTAACATGAATGTAAATCTTCTATTGACGATGTTGGTACACAAAAAAGTACATCGTAAGAGAAACAAAATGTTTTCGATTTCTCTTAATTCCTTTATATTTCTAGATGTAATCAGTCAACATGTTCAAAGGGCAAATGAGCTTATGCCATGGCGCAGCATCCGTCGTGCCTCCGTCGTCTGTCGTCCGTCCGTCAACTATTCCTTTAAAACGTCACTAGTCCTGAACGGCTTAGTGAATTTGCTCTTGAGCATCCTTGGGCCAAGGGCTCTAAATTTTGTATAAACGGTGTGTGTGGCCCCCTAGGGACAAAGAAGCGGGGCCATACAGTGGAAATAGAGGTACACATCTCAAAATCCTTCTTCTACTGTAAGGATTAAAGGATTTCATACTGATTGAGTCTGTAGCATCCTTTTGCCAAGGGGACTCTATTTTGTTAAAACTGTGGGTGTGGCCCCCTGGGGGCAGAGAAACGGGGCCAAATAGGGAAAATAGAGGTAAACATTCAAAACCCTTCTTCTACCGTAGGGATTTAGGGATTTTATCCTAAAATAGCCAGGAACATCCTTTGGCCAAGTGGACTCAATTTGTATAAACTGTGGGTGTGCCAACCTTCCCTGGGGGTAGGAGAGCGAGGCCCTATTGGGAATTTTGAGGTAAAACTTTAACAATCCTACTTCTATGTTAGGGATAAAGTGATTTTATAGTTATTTAGTCTGGATCATCCTGAAGCCAAAGGGACTCAATATTGTATAAAAGGTGGGTGTGCCCCTGGGGAGAAGGGGCAGGGCCTTATAGGGGAATATAGTTAGTTAAGCCTGTGACATCCACGGGCGAAGGAGATTCAATTTTTTAAAAAACGGGTGAGTGGCCCCCTGGGGCAGAGGAGCGAGGCCCAATATTCTTCATAATCCTTCTTCTTCTGTAGAAATGATATGATTTTGTCCAAACTTGGTATGAAGCATCCTTTGGTGAAGTGGAAACAGCCTGAATAAATGGTGGGTCTGATCCCCCCGGGGACTGAGGGGTTGGCCAAATAGAGGTAATTTAGCAAATTCTTTAAAAAAAAATATCATCTGTAAGAATGGCAGGATTTTCTCCATACTTGGTCTAAAGTATCCTTGGGTGAAAGGGACCTTATTTTGTATAAACGGTTGTTCTGTTAGATTACAAATTGTTTGACTAAATTTGAACATTAGCATCCCATTGGGAAGAGAAATTAATTTTGTACAAATGGTGGGTCTGATCTCATTGGGTGCAGAGGAGCGGGGCCTAATAGGGGAAACATAGCAAATTCTTTAAAAAAAAATATCATCTGTAAGAATGGCAGGATTTTCTCCATACTTGGTCTAAAGTATCCTTGGGTGAAAGGGACCTTATTTTGTATAAACGGTTGTTCTGTTAGATTACAAATTGTTTGACTAAATTTGAACAGTAGCATCCCATTGGGAAGATAAATTAATTTTGTACAAATGGTGGGTCTGATCTCATTGGGTGCAGAGGAGCGGGGCCTAATAGGGGAAACATAGCAAATTCTTAAAACTCCTTCTTCTTATATAGGATTGACAGGATTTTGCCCAATTGCATATTAGTATAACCTCTGAATAACCATGTGATACACTACCAGCAACATAAGTCACATCAAGTACTGTTTCTGTATTACAATTAAGCAATCTATAATTTATTATAACATTCATTTCCATAAAAAAATACATCAAGAAATATTGATACTGGATATGATGTCGCAGACATCATAAAGGTTATGTTTAAAAAAATGTACATTCAAAGATAATCTCACAATACACCATGATTTCCAAATCGTGATCATGACAGAATTGACAAATAAACATAACGCGGATGTCATTAATCACATATGATACAAGCATCCATTTATATCAAATTAAGATATGATATTAACAAACACACATTACACCAATAACAATGTTAGATTATCCACAGTATAACAACAGGAGAAAAATACAAAAAAACTTCTTCTTTTGTATTATCAAATGTTTTAGTTCCATCCTATACAATCCTCGATATTCAGGTGCTACGCTCACGTTCGCTCTCTGCACCCCTGAAATATGTCATAGAAAAATTAAAAGCAGTCTGCTGGATATTTGATTGGTGTCGGGTAAAAACCCTGACTAATAACTAGGCTGATGCATGTCTCTGAAGATTACAGTGGAGCGACACCCGACTTTAAAGCCATTAAGTTTTAACGTTGCGCGACCGACAAATTCTTTTGATGTACATCAAAGGATCAAACTCATCTTCTCGTCTCATACACAAGGTGTTGAACATCGAGCGTTCGATTTTGATATGACATATTCCAATGGTGTAAAAATAATAAAAGAGCGAAATGAGTGTAGCCACTGGATATTGAGGATGATTCTACACAAAAACCAGTTGTAAAAGATACAGGGATTTCGCTTATTGAGACTGCTACAACGGATGAAAAATAATCTCAATGGTCATGACTGTTTCAGTTAATAAATACTCGCTAATATGCAACATTTGAACTAATCCAGTAGAAAAAGTATCAACCAAATTACATTTACTATTGAATACAAAATCCATTAATATGATCTATAACAATATATACAGAATCATATTATTAATCAGAATTATTGAAACGTATACAACACAAATGTGTTAATCTGAACTGTTACAACTATTTTAATCAGAAAACTTAAAACCTGCCAGGTGTTTTTTAACCGATTCTTCCATAATTATACAAAGTAATATTTTGAATCGATAGAGTAATACTATAATCAATACTGTTGATATTTACAAAGTACTGTTTTGATCTGAACTGCTTATTTGTTTACAGAATAATGTTTTAATCAGTACTGCTACATGTAAAACTTCCACTGTGATATTTTTTTTCATCTGAAGTGTTGAAACTTTTTATTCTGAACTGTTACAACTTGTAAATAATAATATATAAATCCGAACGGTTACAACGTATTCATATTATTTTATCAATCTGAAAGTTTACAGCTGATACAGTAGAAAAAAGTTGTGTTTATACTCTTCAATATAACGTTGGTATACGGTGAACGATATATAATCCATTACCCTTGGTTTGAGATAAAACATGATTAATCAAAGATAGCATTGGGTTATTGCATAGACATGAATGTAAGACAATACGACAATGTATCAGAATGAACAGTGGTCGCATTGGACAAGTATGTTGCTGTACATGATCTTTGGATATGCACAAAATAAACCTGCGATCGCTATGGTTATCACTCAGTGCAGAATATAAACCAGTAATTTGTTGAAGAGAGCAGTTCTCTTTGGGCTCGATGAATAATTGATGAAAATATCAAATTGTAAGTAACATACGTACTGTATTTGGCTATCTGCATCGCCATACTAACTATCCAGTAAATCTATATATATTTGTCATAACTATTATCCACCGAAAATAAAGTTCTTTGGATAAATAGAGTTAATGACATGAATGTCTTTGTCACATTAAATTTATATGAGACAAACCTCTAGGCGAGTGCTTTATCAAATAATTTAATAATGAACAATGTCAGTGCAAACAAAATAATAATAACGACAAAATAAAAATAAAAATATTAAAAAATAATAGCAAGAACACTAAAATGTATCAGAGACAAATGCTGTTAATGAAGTTAAATAAACTGTTGGTAGTAGCGTAGAAATATGATCCCACAGACTTGACCAATCGCAGCATCTTAATGTTTTATTACACATGTGAATTGCCATATTTATGATATAAATAACGACAAACGTCCCTGTAGTAACACAATACACATCCTAGTTATGTAGTCTGTATATACGTCCCTGTAATAACACAATACATGTCCTAGTTATGTAGTCTGCATCTACGTCCCTGTAATAACACAGTAAACATCCTAGTTATGTAGTATGTATCTATGTCCCTGTAATAACACAGTGAACACCCTAGATAGGTAGTCTGTATCTACGTCCCTGTAATAACACAGTAAAATTCTAGGTATGTGGTATGTATCTACGTCCCTGTAATAACACAATAAACATCCTAGATATGTAGTCTGTATATCGTCCCTGTAATAACACACAGTAAACGTCCTAGTTATGTAGTCTGTATAAGTCCCTGTAATAACACACAATAAACTGCATAGGTATGTAGTCTGTATATCCGTCCCTTAAATAACACAGTAAACATCATAGTTATGTAGCCTGTATTTATATTGATTATAATATAGTGAACACCCTTGTTATGAAATCAGCAAATATGCTAGTTATGTATAAACATTCCCCGTTATAACATTTTAAATAAGCCGATATCCATATCCCTCGAATAGCTACGTAAACATTCTAGTTATATATAAACATAAAAAAAACATATTAAACATCCTAGTTATTTAGTCTCTATTTGCATTACTTTTATGATACAGTTAACATTCCTGTTATTAAGTTTATATTTACTTCTTGGTTAAAACACAGTAAACATCCAACATTTATTTGCATCTCTATCATATCAAAGTAAATATCCCACTTATGTATTAACATCCCCGCTATAACAAAGTAAACATCCTAGCTATGTAAAAAATCTCTGTTATAACACAGTAAACATCATTCATATGAAGCCTATGTTTACACCTTGGTTATAACACAGTAAAGATCCTATATTTTATTTGCAAATCTATCATATCAACTTAAATATCCTAGTTATGTATTAGCATCCCCGTCACTGAAGCTTACTTATCTAGGACTACAATGCATTGCTGGGAAATTCTATCCAACCCACGAGTCTGGATCGTTTTTACGCTCAGACTTGCGGGTAGGATTAAAGTGACCTTTCGGGGTCAAGATCTTGTTCGTGACGTCATTCCATGACGTTTTGGGGTCAGTCAGGGTCATTGACTCCATTAGCAATCACCATCCGGGCTCCATTTGCAAATTACAAAAGTACAGACAGTTTACAACTGTACTAGAAAAGCAGCTGTTTTACGGGTTTAAGGTTATAAGCAAGAACTGGAATCCGTCTCTTATGTGTGGTATGTATATGGTTATTCAAAGCTTCGGGTCTTCTACCCAAAAATGTGTCCCTTTGGTTATATTTACCTTATCCTTACATCACATCAGTGATATATTTTATTTATCTGTTATAACACCACGGTTAACAAGTGTGTTAGGTTATAGCATGCGTTTCCCTGTTATAATATAACGAGCACCTTATTAACATATCATGCATATTTGGTTATTCATCATTGCTACGCAGCACACATTTACATCATCTTTTCAGCAAATACAGAAACTATTTCTTTTCTTAACTCATAATGTTTCATTAATTACATACCACAATCCTAATCAGTCTCTAAAAAAATCAATGTTTTTTGCTGACTTTATGGTGACATTTGAAATCAATAATACTGCATTGGAATCTGGATATCATATCGTTTCTGTACAACACTTCATTAATCACCAATTGTCATATAATAAACATAATATACTCACTTTGGTGAAATAATAATGTTATTGGAAATTGTACAAGTAGTAGTCCTTTGGTAACTGTCTTTGGTCAATGAGCTTCTAGAACCGTGTAGAGAAAAAATCCATATAACACTAGTCCTCGACAATCAGAGCAGAACAACGTCTCTATGGTAACATACACCAGTTATTGGGTATTAGAACCATGTTGTAGTACTTAACCTGCAATGGAAATATAATAGAAAGTTATGAAAGGTATTTTACAACAATAAGTGGGAAACACTACAACGTTTTGAGATTTGCAGTGATGTTTTGTGATTATACGGTCGAACATTCGGTTGTATATACGACGCAGAGCTCTAGTATAGTCATGATATACCGATACGCAATTCAAAATACAATATTTTTATTCCAATTCTTATCAATTTCAACTAAAATTGAGTTTTCATTAACAGAAAATTGGTCACTCTGCCACGTTTTGGTAATGACAGTAACATTCATAGTGAGTAGCACGTATCATGTCCTTTCGCACTCACTTCATTGAGCATTATGTCATAAGTAATCAATTTCCTAACGTGTAAGGGTCATCGCGTTTGGCTTCGTATGCTGATCAGAACTTTACTGACGGTATATCGTGGTTATACCATCGCAGGTTATATCGATTTACCACGCAAATGCCGTGTTACATCTCACATAAATTACGGTACCAAGAACTTAAAACTAAAGTGTCGTGTAATCACATGTTAACAAATTGAATTTATTATTTCTATAATGCATCTTAGAAGTTTGACAATGAGCATAATATAACTACAATTTTCTTGTTGATATTTTAAAGAATTCTTTATTATTTGAATACTTACTAATAAAAGCAATGAAGCAATCATGTTTCATTGCCCAGAGAGAATTGTTGATTTGATAAGGCACACTTTCCTCTATAGTAAAATAGTGGGAACTCCGAGCTCCAAGAAAACGTAGAAGTAATTACCATAGTTTGAACATACAGTTTCATTTCGAAAAAAACAAAACCAGTACCTATGCGGATTTTAGTGCTCTAATGAGGGATTCGGTGTCCATGTCGCATTCCTGCATCGCCAGGAGAATTGAGTTCACAGTTGGGCGTGGCTTGGTCTCTTTAATGAAAGCTTCCAGTAAAGCGGTGATTTTCTTTGAAATATCCTTGTAGTCGTAGTCAAACTTATCCACTATTTTGGGTGTGAATCCAAGTTCCAGGAACAGGTTGAAATATGATTTAATGTCTACGTGATCAGCGATGATCGGAACATCATTGTCAGACACATACCTCTTTAACCATGTATCCGTCAATGTCTCGTCTGAAACGTACAGACACAAAATGACTGACAATCGTCTATCGAGAGATCAAGAAAAGTTAAAGACAACAACAGAGAAAGAAAAAAAAAGAAAATTCAAAACAAACACATAAAAAAAAATTGTAAACGTAAACAAAAGACACAACATACGACACAAAAAGCTAAATTCCATTATATAAACGAAACACAAAGTCTTAAGTATCTCGTACATTTTTGTGGCTATACTCTCCCACGTCTCTTCGCCCGTGTAACATATCATGACAAAATCGAAGCCATCTTGTGTATTCTACAAGTCGACCATAAAGAGAACATCAAACATCCGGCAATATATCAGGAAGACGTTCCTTTTTAAGTTTCCAAGTGTCAACCAAGCGACTTGTCAGTTTTGTTTACCTTTAACCTGACACCAAGCAAATAGCTAAAGGTGTAGAGAACTCAAGTGAGCAAAAACCCATGGAACAATGAGGATATGTCTAAGGAAGTGTTATGTTATAAACAGATGGATATATAATCAAAACTTATCTAGACGAATAATTAATGACGAAGAGTAGACAAAACAGAAATTAATGTGAAAGGGGAGAGAGAAAGGTTCGAGGCACAGACAGAGAGACTGCAGCCTTACGTACCTATAAACATCACATTTCTGTTGGAGTCCAGAATGTTTACGAGCTTGGAGGGGTCCATTCCATGTCGTGACATTGCATCTGCTATAGCCAGGAATCCAGTATCAGCTTTCGTTTTGAGGAGGTGAATGAAAATCTTTGCGATGCGAGATCTAAAGTCGAGGTGACGGTGCTCTTCCATCTCCTGCTCAAGTATTGCAACCTCACAGTCCAGTTCGGCAAAGAACATCTGGTATGTACCACCGATATACCGCGAGACTCTACCAATCTCTTTGAACGATAGGTTTCTATCTGGTAAAGCCTTTGACAAGTCTGTAATGTATATAACACCATCAACAAAGCGTAGTTTAAACATAAACAAATAAACTGATATCGTATATATTTATTGTAAGTATGTTGACTGCATAAGACCAGTCGTTCAGTATTCATGGAAGAACAAGCAAACTTACTTCTAATAGACGATACTGAAAATGTATTATTCTGATAAATACAAAGTAAAAAAATGAATTGTAATTTTAGTTGTACCGGACGTTATATTAGTTTAACTTGTCAGGATCTGTTAGGCAAAACAGCTCATCATGGTACTGTATGACTGTATAAATGTTCATCAATTGCATAGCCAGTTTGAACAGACGGTCTTAACTTATCAAAGAAACATTTTATAAATTTCATATTGTATAGATTAACAACAAAACCAATGAATATAACGTAGGTTTAGTTTGAATTTCATATTATAATAAGTGGAGCGATTTTGACATACATTATTTTTTTTCCCCGTAGCAGTCCTTGTAAATGTCATAAAATGAGTGTGTTTGATATTGAAGAATATCGACTTACCAACATGACGCAAACGGGTCCGTTTTGTCTGTAAAAAAGCGAACAAAACATTCATTCTGATGCGCAATAATTTGAGAATAAAAAACATAACTGCAATACTTCCAAAGGTAATAACACATATTAACAATGTTTATAGTAAGACACAGAAGTGTTTGTCGTGGATTCGAAACCAACGCATGAGAGTCAATGTTGTGCCCCTGATATTTGCTTATTAATGTATTCTTAGAAAATATCATTTGTTGCAATAGATACACTCAAATGACGTCACGATTGAGACGGTACATTTCTAGAGTAAAACTCTAACAACTTACAAGACACGTATACTATGATACACTATATCTCTGGTATAACTACATGTACCTAAAAGGAAACACGGCAAGAAAAGCTGTAAAACAGAACAGTTTTTTCAAAGGTCGCAAAATGTCATATAACTCCCGGCGACGTAAAACCACTTACAAGTTGCAGCATTGACATATGAACATTAACATCTGCCCCAGTGACATCAGTTATCCAAAACCAACACGTATGAATCACACAAGAATGTTACCTTATGAAAACAACTAATACATATATATGATCTTTCTTTAGGAGTAAAGAAATCCAAATGACATATTTAATCTAAAAAAAGCATTTAATTGGGTATTGGTGCATTCAGTTTTCACAGAGAAGAAGTTTTCAAAAAGCTTTTTAATATTTAGTGATATTTTTGCCAGTTATGAAAGATTTCAAATNACATGTTGACTGCACAAGACCAGTCGTTCAGTATTTATGGAAGAACAAGCAAACTTACTTCTAATAGACGATACTGAAAATGCATTATTCTGATCAATACAAAGTAAAAAAATGAAGTGTAATATTGGCTGTACCGGGCGTTATATTAGTTTAACTTGTCAGGAACTGTTAGGCAAAACAGCTCATCATGGTACTGTATGACTGTATACATGTTTATCAACTGCATAGCTACATGTAGTTTGACGGTCTTTACAGTTCAAGAAACATTTTATCAATTTTATATTGTATAGATTAACAACAAAACCCATCAACAGGATGTATGTTTAAGTTGAATTTAATATTATATTAAGTGGAACGATTTTGACATACAACAATTTTTGTTCCAGTAGGAGTCCTTGTAAATGTCATGAAATGAAGTGTGTTTGATATTGAAGAAATCGACTTACCAACATGACGCAAACGGGTCCGTTTTGTCTGTAAAAAAGCGAACAAAACATTCATTCTGATGCGCAATAATTTGAGAATAAAAAACATAACTGCAATACTTCCAAAGGTAATAACACATATGAACAATGTTTATAGTAAGATATAGAAGTGTTTGTCGTGGATTCGAAACCAACGCATGAGAGTCAATATTGTGCCCCTGATATTTGCTTATTAATGTATTCTTAGAAAATATCATTTGTTGCAATAGATACACTCAAATGACGTCACGATTGAGAAAGTACATTTCTAGAGTACAAATCTAACAACTTACAAGACACGTATACTATGATACACTATATTTCTGGTTTAGTTACCTATAAGGAAACACGGCAAGAAAAGCTGTAAAACAGATTAGTTTTTTCAAAGGTCGCAATATTTCGTATAACTTCCGGCGACGTAAAACCACTTACAAGTTGCAGCATTGACATATGAGCATTAACATCTGGCCCAGTGACATCAGTTATCCAAAACCAACACGTATGAATCACACAAGAATGTTACCTTATGAAAACAACTAATACATATATATGATCTTTCTTTAGGAGTAAAGAGATCCAAATGAAATATTTTATCTAAAAAAAGCATTGAATTGGGTATAAGTGCATTAAGTTTTCAAAGAGAAGAAGTTTTCAAAAAGCTTTTTAATACTTAGTGATATTTTTGCCAGTTTTGAAAGATTTCAAATGTGTGTTTAAAAATCTGAATTAAAAAAAAATGCGTAGTCTGCATACCTTCTGATTTGGGTTTCCGAACCAGATGGAGAGGTCGTCTCTGTCTATCCATCTCGTCCCATTTGAACCGTAACATTGTAGACGTGGTGCCTGTTGAAGATCATCCTTCTTCACCATTTTCTCCTCTGCAGTGAACCGGAAGTCGTTGTGGAGGTAGAATTGGTATCCAAGATGACTTTGGTGGTTCAACTCAAGAATCCGCTTGAGAAGAAAATCAAGAATACTGAGCAGGTTAATTCCAGTTCCTGTTGGTACTGAATGATCTGTA